GTTTAATAAGGTGGTCTTTTCGGTTATTTTAGTTGTGTGCTGAGTAGCTTGAGCAATCTCAGGACAGAAGTTAAGCATGAAAATTAGTAGGAGTAAGGGAATGATAGCCATAGTTGTAAAAAAGTTAATCTTCTTCATGAAACAGAAGGAAAAGATACATATATTTATGGCAACTGAGTTGTGTTCCTATAATCGGTTCAAGACCAACATATATAGTAGTAGGGGAAAAAGAGAGAGATCCATGGCCGGCATATTCAGAAGAGTTTGTCAGTGTGAATCAAGCTTTTGTACTGCAGTATCATGGATTATGGAATGTCCTGCTGCTTTTGTTTATTGTTGCCTTCTTAGTTAAGACGGCAACATGAAACGTCTTTTAGTCTGAAATACCTTCTTTTTTTTTTTGATAAAACAGATATTTAAATTGAGTGAAAATAAAACTTGATAATTCCACTAACATTCATATTTTAATATTTAAAAAATAAATTGCAAAGTGTTCTCCTATTAGTATTATAAGTATTTATAAACTCTTTTACATAAAGGAGTTCGCTCTTCACAAAATATATTTATAAATACTTTATCTAAATTGTAAGAATATAAATCAATTCACGTGCATGGATAAAATTTATGAATCGTTTTTTGGTCATGGATATATATTATTCTACCATACTTGCCGCTTAAAAGAAATGGACCTTCACCATGCAAAACATGATACTCTGACCTGGTCTTCAAGTTCCCGAATCTATTGCTTTCCATGCCTCATTCTGATGATTTCCTTCTCATTGTGTTTGTCTCCGTGTACATATTTAGCATATATGTTTCCAGAATAAGACCTCATACAAAAATCTGGAAATGGAATATTTCTGCAGCATCAGTCTTTACCTTGAATATTGACGAAGTCTTGATTTTGCTTTCTTTTCCCTCTAGCTATTGTAACCTTCTAGTTTTTAACTCTTTCCAAGGCAAGATGTGTTTAGCCGAATCTGAAATTTGAAATCAGACCGAAGCCCAGTCCGCAACAAATCAGTATATGCCTTCATGCCGAAACAGGGAGCTTTTCCCATCCTCTAGATGCACAAGACAAAATTTTCTCGGATTGAGAAGTCAGGCCATAGATTCTACTTCATTATTTACCGCCGTTGCGTTGGGAGTTGAACAAAAAAAAATTCAAATAGGAAAAACATATTTAAATATTATTAATATTTTTTTCTAGTAAAAGAAATTATAAATTATGTGAGAATTGGTTTAATATAACCTGATTAATTTTACAGATCTAATAGCAACTCATACAACTCGTAAAATTATAGTTTGTCTAAAAATAATTTCAAGAGATAATATTTGTAATATTTCACATAGGCGGATGATGATTCAGGGAGCTTATATAAGCATGCTCACCTTAACTAGCAATACATGTTTTGGGGCCATGAGTGGCTATCAAGAGTAAATTCATTAGGCTCGTGAACCAAAGTGGACAATATCTTACTAGTGGGGTGAGGTGTTGCATTAGTATCAGAGCCCGACTTACTGGCTATCCAGTGGTGCCAACGGGGTTGTTGGACTCCTTAAGAGGATGAACTATAATATTCTACTTTGGCGGGTGAGGACTTGGAGGAGGGCTTTATATGAGCTTGCTCACATTGATTAGTAAGACGTGTTTTGGGGCAATGCGTAACTGTTAAAAATAAATTTGTGAGGCTCGTGGGCCAAAGTAGACAATATATTACTAGTGGGATGAAGTGTTACAACATCTTTTGTTTTTTTTTTTAATATTAAGATAACAACATACTAAATTGACTTGGATTAACCCGGGTTAACATGTCAAATCCATAATCTAGATTATAAGACCACGATAACCCAATAAAAAGTAACTCAAAATAAATTATAAAATCCAATTTTTAATAAACACAATATTGAAGAGTAAAATTAAAAAAATAATTAAAAAAACCTAAAAAAAACAACCTAAGTTAACCTATCAAACTAGCAACCCAGGTCATAAAACCAAGATAACCTCATGGAAAGCAAATCGAAACAAATTATGAATTTCAAATCCAATCAGACTAATATTAAAGTTTGAGATTAAAAAATTAATTAAAAAACAACATAAAAATAACCCAAGTCAATTTGTCAAACTTATGACCCAAGTTATCATAATGAAATAACTTCATTAAAAAAAAAATTGACTTGATTTAACTTGAACTGACTTACCAAATCTACGACTTGATTATAAGACTAGGATACTTCATGAAAAATAATTTAAAATAAATCATAAAGCTCATTTTGAATTGCTCATATAGGATTCAATGTTAAATGATGAAACTTGCAAAAGTTTTAATTAAAAAAATAACATAACAAATGAGTTAAGTTGATATAGGTTAACTTATTAAACACTATTATTAGGTTATAAGTTTGAAATAACCTAATAAAAAGCAAATAAAAATAAATTATGAGGTATAATTCATAATGAAACACAATATTAAATGATGAAATTGAGGAAAAAAGTCAATAAAAAAATTGATTTAATTGAGCTAATCTTTCAAACTCATAACTCAGGCCATGAAATGAGAACAACCTAATAAAAATCAATTCCTATGTTGAAATACATGTAATCTGATTCATAAAACTGAGATAACATCTTATAAATAAAAAAAATAAAATGATTTAATCAAGGTTAAAATATCAAAACTCGTGGTCTTGATCATGAGATTAAAATATCCTTATAGAAAGTAAATTACAATAGATTATAAAGTTCAATTCTCAAACCAACTCAATGTTGAATGAAGAAATTGAAAAAAAATTGATTAAAAAAAATCTGAGTCAACTCGAGTTAACCCATTAAACATTATTTATAGGTCTTGAGGTTGATACAAAAGAAAGTAACAACAAATTATGAAGTCTAATTTTTTATCAATTTAATGTTAAAAAATAAATTTGAGAAAAAATATTAATTAAGAAAAAAAAACCAAGGAAAAAACAAACTAGAAGATTGAAATTAATATTAAAAGATTGAAATTAGAAGAAAAAAATTGATTGAGAAAAAATAAAAAAAAACAAAAAAAAACAAGGCATTATTTCATTGAATAATATTTTTGTAAGGATAGATTTAATAAAATTTCAATAAATCTAATATTAAATAATAAAATTAAAAAAAATCAATTAAATTAACTTATTAAAATCATAAGATATACCTATAGTATAATAACTAAATAAAAAAATAAAAAAGAAGAGGTACGGTATAACCCCTCTTCCTCTTTTAGGTTATACTTAATGTAAAAAAGCTCGTGAATATGCTGTAATCCTTATTCTCTCCCAATATCCCCTCAAGTTCTTATGCTGTTCACTCCTTTCGGCACACTCAACCCAGTGATTGGTTAAGTTTACACCGTTAAACCTCAACATGTAAATGGAATGAGAGATATGTTACATAGGATACTTCAACAAGGCCATATTTTTTCTGGAGCACTAAATTTGTGAATTAAGTGAAGGATAGAGAAAGGAGGAGGAAGACGAACTTCTGCCTGTGATTACTCTAACAAATATGACAGCAAGTACGACAATGGATCCGCGACCTCCTTGCCCTCAGCAATTTTAACAAGCCACCATTGCTACTTTCTCAATAAAGCCTTCTGGATGTATCTCTAGATCTTCAAATACCACTGGGGAACTTTGAAAAGTGTTTCGTTAGAATATGAACTCATCTCAAATAAAGAAGATTATATTATGTTTTTACAAAATCAGAATCAGAAAAAGATCTGTACTAGGCTAACAAAAGCTGCATAAATGTTTGCCAAGGTTAACCGTAAGGAAAAGTTATCATGGTTTCTCTTTAACGCCAAGACATTATCAATCAACAGTCAGGGACCCAACTGACAGCAGCGAAAAACCCTAACAGCGGAGAGATTCTGATACTCAGTATTATCTAGGTTCTGGCAGCCCGGCATTAAATTACAAAGTCAAATCAATATGAAGGTATGGATTCCAGTTCCAAGACAAAATGCCACGGCAAGCAACTCGCATGCGTTGGAGATGACTAGCAGAACCTAGCCATTGATCGAGACAGCGAGTTCTCAGTTATCATTTTAAGTTATTATATCTACCTGATAGTAAAATTCAGATAACAAGTATACTGGCCGTTTTCACTAGTAAAATCATCATTTTTACGAGTAAGTTCTCTGAATTTTTTTAAAAATTTATTTATACTAACTTTTTTTTCTGAATTTTTTTCTGTAAATAAAGAAAAAAAAAGAAAGCTAGAAATTTTTAATTAATTAGATGTTGAAGAGATGAAGGTAAAAATAAGTTTTTTTTACTTATAAAGTACAGAGATAAAGGTAAAAGTAAGTTCGAATAAAAAGATATATTTTTTATAAAAATTTAAAATAGTTGAGATTTTATTGTTTAGAAAGAATATTTTCTAGAAGATAAGGTTTTCTCAAATCTAAAAAGAAAATTTTAATTATTTTTATTTTTTCTATTGATTAAGAAATTATATATTATGCTTAATAATTGTATTTTTTTTTTCTATTTGTAACTTATTTGCAACTTATATCTACTCATCGTAAAACTTGCACCGAACAATGATTCTCAATGGTTTTTTTATAATTATTTTCATGTATCTCACTAGTCATTTTTATCAAGGAATTGACTCGGTTCCTAAGTTTTTTTGTAGTTTTCTATTTATAAAAAATATTAAAAATAAAAGTGTGTATATATATATATATATATATAAGAATAGACTCATGAATGGTAATACAATGTCTTGTTGTTGCCTGATGACGACTTCTATGGCACAGTCACTTGCCAAATTATGGGGGCTGAAATGAATTTTTCTTTCAAAAGGTTAAATGCTTGCAAACAATCATTTGAAAAAGCGAATCCGAACTCAGGAGATGAAAATGCAAAAGAACAGATCATTATTTTCATTGAGTCGACACCACTGTTCCAGAAGATTTGCAATCTTCTTGTTTATTTGACGGAACCTAAACAGGCTCAAACAAGTTCGTCGATTTCAGCTAGAAATAGAATACTAACTTACTCATCAGACCTAATAGGAGTTTTCATGGCTGATCAGAGATTTGTCTCTGCCATTTTGTACGGCACCTAATCTTCATTGGAGAAAGAAACCAATATTTGGCTTCTAATTGAATGCTTATCTGAAACCCACCTGATATATCCTTGACCTATTGGATCATTGTTTGACTCAGATGTTGCAGTAAAAGTCACAGAGTATGTTGCAGTCTGTTCCGTGTTAGTGAATATAATGTTATTAGGTGTCACGGTAACGTTTACCCCTGGTGGTGGATCGACGAAGGCAGTGTAAAATGAGTTGGGAGGGCCAACATTTGTTACCGTTCTGGTATAGGTCTGCGTTGCAGGATTAGGCCCGTATACGATTGAAAAGGAAGGATAATTCAGTTGTGCTTCTAGTATGCTTGACTTTTCTGAGCACTTCACTTGGCGCTGCACGATGTAGCTTATGTCTCTGTCTGGGTAACCCAAGCCACATAGGTAAGGGACGTAATCATCAGGCTGGATATCATAAACAAGACCCGGATCGCTTGCCTTTGATGGGTTAACATGGCCTGCTCCAGTGGCCAATATATCAGCAGGTAAAAGCCTCTCGTCCAGGATTGGCTGGTTGCCAAGGTTTACTAAATCAGCAGTAGTCATGATAGCAGATTTGATGGCAGCAGGAGACCAGTCAGGGTGGGCACTTTTCAGCAGAGCAGCAATGCCGCTCAGATGTGGGCAAGACATTGAGGTGCCTGAGATAATGTTAAATGTGGACTTCTTATCTGTCCTGTTCTCCACAGAAACTGGCCACGCTGCTAGGATGCTCACGCCAGGGCCAATAATATCGGGTTTCAATATGCCTGGGCTTGCCATGCTTGGGCCTCTAGAGGAAAATGAAGCAACCGTCGGGGCAGTTTTATCACCAATTTTAGTTCCAAGAAACATGATTGTAGCAGTTGGAACCTGTGTTGAGTTTATGTAGGCTTTGATGCTCAACCCAGCTGAGTAACTCACATGTGATGCAGGAAGTACATGAGCATCTGCTAAGGTGCTATAGCCACTATCCTTGTCATTCATCAGAATCATAGCAGCACCACCGGCATCCTTCACAGCTTGTCCTTTGTCAATTCTTGCTATCCCACCACCTCTCTCACAAAGAACTATCTTGCCTTTGACATCTATATCTGTCAATGATTCTGGTGCACAAAATGCTGCTGATTGAGAACCATGAGCACCTGCATAAACAAGACTCATATATGGAGGTGAATTTGACTGGAAGAGGGATTCGCCAAAAAAATGATTGGAATTCCCAAGCAACACATGTGCTCTTATGCTTCTATCAACTGTGCTTGCTCCAACAGTGAGAATCCACGGGGCCTCATTTGATAAAGAACCACTATACGGACCTTCATTCCCTGCTG